GTAGCAATTATATGCCCTCTATGCTAGTACTGATTCTGAAGAATATACACGTTTTGAAATGCTCGGAGATAAATTACGAGTACTTCGGACACAGTTGCTAACTTACAATTTTACAATTAAATATTTTTATAAGAAACAATCCCTGTCAAATAACACACGTTTTGAAGAATATACACGTTTTGAAATGCTCGGAGATGAATTACGAGTACTTCGGACACAGTTGCTAACTTACAATTTTACAATTAAATATTTTTATGAGAAACAATCCCTGTCAAATAACAGTTAGTGAACGTATTTGCTGTATGCTTTTACATATGATTAATTGGCATACGATCATGTAACTTAAGGGGGTTTTTTTTCTGTTAATTAAGTGAAAGTTTTTTCTACTTCTATCGTTTTAAATAAGCTATTCAATTTTTTAATTGGGTAGACAGCAATTAATATAAATAGAACGATACATCATAGAATATCGTCAGATTTGGTATAATTAGTGTTTATTGCTATATAAATCTATGTCTATAGCAATAATATTACTTTTATTTATATTGAATATGAACGAATATTACTTTTATTTATATTGAATATGAACGAATTTTTTGTGAGAAATACGGTAAACATTATAACAATACCGTACATAGAATTTTCCTCTAAAACAATTCCCATGGTGTATTGTATGTATGCCATACTGCACTGCATTACTCAAATAACCGACCAGACTCAACGCTGCTTTTTATACAACTTTCAAAGACCATGCTGTACGTATTATTATTATATACTTATATAGCGCATATCAAACTTCTCTATGCGCTGAACATTATTACCCCGGATCAGTGGATCAAGCACATATGGAACACACACTCAGGCCCCATAGGGGAATTCCATAATGTTGCAGCTGTATTCAGCGCAGGTTGTGTTTGAACCTACCAGGTACCCACTTTTACTCCTGGGTGGAGAGAATTTTTTGTGAGAGAGACAACCGTAGATAAAGTGCCTTGCCCAAGGACACAAGCGACTTGCACAGCGAGAGTTTTGAACCCCCGACCTCGAGGTTGGGAGTCCAAACCACAACCGATGCGCCAACCACTTCTACTATACGTAAATAGTGTCTAGTCATAGAGATATTATAGTAATACTAGACATTAGTTCATTCATTTTTGGTCAACCATACTACAGTATACAACCGTAGTTTTCACACGCAATCTGATATTGCACAAGCAGGGAACACTGCTTTCGCGACTCGCGAGGGGGAGTCCCGGCCATACTTTCCACTGGCGCCAGGAGCGCCCCGGCACCACCCTTTCGTACAGATGCGATGGTAAGATCATGGACTTATAGGTCCATTGTGGTATGAGCAAAGACTGCCGGTATTCCATCGTGAATGTTATACTGCTGTTAACAGGGGCGGATTTAGGTGGCCCGCCCTCACCCCACTTTGTGAAAGGTAAAAAGAAAAGGGGAAAAAGAAAAAAAAAAGAGAGAAAAGAAAAAAAATGATCCCCGAAAACGCCTAAGAAGTTATTTTCGGACGTCTAGAACTGGGTTCGGCAAACTGGGTTTCGGCCAACTGGTATTCATTGTTTTTGAGTCGGCAAACTGGTACTCGGCGAACTGGGATTCGGCAAATTGGTCTCGGCAATCTAGGCATTCGGCAAACTGTATTTCGACCATCTGGCCTAGATCCTGACGATGTGTCGTATAAAAAGGCCTACATACATTAATACATTATAATACTGTACAGTGGATAACACCACCCCCCCCCCCCTCCTTTGTACAGAGTATTAACATTTTAAAGCTTGTTCTTGCTAGCCAATACAAATTCTTTCCTGGATCACGCAAAATCTTAAATCCATAAATCCAAGGCCGTCTTTTTAAGATACAGAAATGTGATATTGTGTGGTTCAGTTTGGTTTTTATCCTTTTGTTTAAAGTTTTGTTTATAATAATAATGATGATAATGACAATGGTGATAATGTTAACAGATAATAAAGTATAATACATACTCCAAGTATTGAAATTCACGCCATCGTGTTGGGATTCAATATTTCGACATTAATTATGTGATCATAAGGACCACTGGACCTTCGGACCAACGGGCCTTAAAACCAAAGACCCTTCGGACCAAAGACCCTATCGGACCAAAGGTACGCACCGAGTTTAGTTTTGTGCTGGTGGCAAGCCTGGGATGGGACGGCGCATGATGACCTTAGTGAGACCGGCCATCCTGGCCTAGGAATCGGCCTGTTAGGCCTACATGATCATCTTTTTAAATATTTGTGGTTAATGCAATTGGGGCATAACTGTATCTTGGCGAGCAGCATTCCTTTAAAATATACCAGATAGGCGTACTGGGTACGTTTGTTGGATGATTGTTTTATCAACTTCTTCCCTCCCTACGTTTTCCATATACCAAACATAAAACATATATGAATATGACTGGGCCGGGAAGCGAAAAATTGCTGCTCCATGGAGTGAAAAGTAAAATAACTTCTTATCACCTCCTTTCGTGAAATATTCTTGGATTAATAACATATAAATATAAGGGAAGGTGACAGACAATGATGCTGTACGTCTGTAGACCAATTACTGAAGGCACTTAGACCGTAGATTCATACACCATAGATTGCATGTTAGTTTTCTGTGATACGGCCAAATCACTATCTCTAAAATAAGACATTATGTATTATTTCACTCTATGTAGGTCCCACAAAATAACCATCTTCCAGAGGATGCTAATTTTGGAGAAAAAAAGAAAACACCACACAGGGAAAACTTTATTACTTTTTTACATTGGTTGCGTCTACTGCATTGGTGGCTGAACAAGTCCAATACGAGAAAGGCAGGGGCCACAGCGGCTGCAACGGTTTGTCCTGGCATATGTGCTGCAATGTCATGGTTCTTTCTTCTTTTTACTTATCATCAAGTGCCAACCTTGGTAGGTTCTCAAAAGAATGGACAGCCTGGTGAATGTTGCATCGCCATGCCACGCGATTAGTGGCTAGAGTTGACTAGGATATACTCGAGATGACTAAATGTCACCGCCAATAATTAGGACTTCATTAGATTCCAGTGACCAAAGCGAGTTCGCTCTACAGGTGACAATCTTTGGCAAGCGGATTTCCCAGGGGTGGCGCCAGGACATGCCCGACGGAGGGGCTAAAGGCCCCGACGGGGAGGGGGGCTAGTGGAGCGAATCAAGTCTCACTAGGCTGGGGCTTGGGGCACGCTGTCATGGTCGAGGTTGCTTCACCTATCACGATGTATTCCAACCATCATGAGGCTATCTAAATGAGCATTTGTCTAACAGAACGCAAAATTTTTTTTAATTAGTCTCATTGAATTATTATTATTATTATTATTATAATTATTATTGTTATTGTGGTTGTTGTTGTGATGAAAAGTTAACACAAACAATATGGTGGCTAAACGAATATTACATGTAAATATTTTTTTTTATTTGTTTGTTACCCGACAAAATTTATCGTCTTCTTTATTACTAGAAATTGCAAATTGCAAGTGAAGTGCTGCGAAGTACAACTGCATAAAATGTTCTTCGAACAAAATTATTTATGCGAGTCAAGTGAATATAATGAATAATAAAAATATAACAAATAATATGAGCATATACACTATATTAGAACAGCGTTGGTGCCGTGTACAATAGTGTTTTGCTGCAGTGACATCTCTCTGCTGGCTACTCGCTGCTGCTGCTGGCGATGACTCGCTGCTGGCGAATCGATCTGCGCATGTGTATAAAGTGGTATTTATTTCCGAAAACACTATGCCAGTCTACAACAAGCGTCGCCTAAATGTAATAATTAGCACGTTGAAATAGGCTAGTAAATAAGTTTAACTGGGTTCGTAAATAATATTGGCCTCAAAATATCTGAGACATGAGCCGATTAAACGTAGAAATAGGAAACCTAGAAATATAGTAAAAACGCTGAATAGTACTCCAGCGTCGCGACATGCCGACGTTGGTTCGAGTAGGTTAGTCTACAAACGTCGCCTAAAGAAATGGATTTTACCCGGCAGAACGAAAGAAGGAAACTCCGCTTTTCAGTTGTCTTAGGCGATAGTTTTTTGACAAACAATGACCTTTCAGAGGTCAAATTGCTGTCAAGAATATGAATTGGCTGCTTCGCAGCAATTATTATTATTATTGTTATTGTGGTTGTTGTTGTGATGAAAAGTTAACACAAACAATATGGTGGCTAAACGAATATTACATGTAAATATTTTTTTTTATTTGTTTGTTACCCGACAAAATTTATCGTCTTCCCCGACGGGGGGGGGGGCTATATCCCCCCTCTGGCGCCACCCCTGGGATTTCCCATCCAGCCCTACGAAGTTGCGATTTTAACAGCTGTTAATACTACTCTATTGATCAATAATTGTGTGGGAGAAATGACCTCGACCATTTTGATTTTCACATATTTTGGTTGGAGACAATTCACTCGAATTTCCATTCTGTCTGTTGACCTTAAAACCTTGTCATAAGTTTTTAACTGAAAAAGTGTCGACAGGGTGGCTGTCTGCGAATTGGCTGTAGGGGAGTTGTCGGTCAGCGAATTGTGTGTGTCAGCGAATTTATTTTGGCGAAGTGACGTGTCGGCCAAAGTGCTTTTGTTCAAAAGTCTACTGTTGGTGCATTGACATTCGGCATATGTCTTTTTATAAGGCTTAGTGAGCGGCGGTTTTAGTCCGCGATAAAATCCTGCTGATTCCAACTAATAACCCGACACCTAGAATGTAAGCATAATATGAACTTCGCCTCCTGGACCACCTAATAGAGATTTTGAGTGATACACGGCCACACCCATTTACGGTCTCGTCGGTGACGTTTCCCCGCCACCGGGAACATCGCACATACCATTGGGCAAATCCTTGGCAACAATATTCAAGTGGCGGGGCGTAGCGGAACGGTCCATAATGTGAATCAAGTTTAAGCATGTCAGGTATTCTGTATAAAATGTGCTAAATAGGAAATAAATAACAGATAATTCATATTTGATTCAAATTTATTTAATCCGAAAATAAATAGCAGCATATTAAGCAAGGTTAAAGTTGAACATCCATAACCGTACACAAGAAAGAAAATTACAACGGATCTTTAAAGAAAACACTGTATTGCTTTTATGCATTTATTTAAAACTGAAATTATAGTTCAAAGTTCCTCAATCCTGAATGCTACATCACATACGAATGCAAAAGTACCTCAAATTTTGTTTTATTTTTAAATACGAAAGAATGCATTTATTTATTTACTGTATATGCAGTACCAGTATAGGGTATTAGCACCTCTGTGGATACACATACAACAGTTTTACCATGTAAACTTTCAGTACCTTAAACATTGCTTACTTATTTATGCATTAGGATCCCAGATTTTATATAATTTATTTAATAATGTTAATACTATAGCTTTAAAAATCAATTATTGTACTTAAAATAAACTCAACCCAAATGCATTAGGATCCTAGATTTTATACAATTTATTTAATAATCTGAGGTATAAAGATCAAATTACTTAAAATAAACTCAACCAAACTGAGTTATCCTCTTCCAGTCTTTTTTATGTAATTTTATAAGGACATGCGACTTGGTGCCAAATCCATGATTTGAGTACAGAAAGATTGAGTACACAACTGAATAGGATCGAACACTCGTGAGTACAGATACAAAGACTTTGGGAAAAAATGGATTTACACTCACATAATAAGTGAGTTAAATACAGAAATAAATAAGAGCTAGCAGGTGAGCAGAAACAGGAGCCTAGACATGTGTAAATACAGGTCACCCTCTAATTAAAGATCCTCCAATTAAAGTCCACCTCCATTTAAAGACCACATTTCTGTGGTCCCATATTAAAAAATATTATAGGGTCATTCTGTGTCAAATCAACCAATTTTTTTGAAAATGGTACGGGTCACCTCTCTGAAAATTCTTTATAAGGTTGATTCATCTATAATGAACACATGCAAAAAAAAAATCGAAATCGTTTCCAAGTTACGGCCAGCCAAAGTTAGGTACTTAAATTGTGTTAAATGTGTGCAATTCGCTTATTTTGCATTTTGGAATGTCTATCACAGTGCTTTTAAATTAAGATACAAAGCTAAACATTTCTACAAAGTCAGTTTTGCCCAAGGAACTCAGATCTGGAATAAGCAAAAATCTCATCTCCTTTTTCCTCTATGAGCTACTGAAAACGACAATTTGTTCAGTCGGTTGAATTAAATTTCATTTTTAGACCTCAAAATTACCCATAATTTACTATTTAAACTAAAATTTCATAGGGGTCCAAAGTTCACACTAAAAATCTAGGAAAAATGCTGTAATTCTAGGTGACCTTTGACCTTGATGGCACTTTTACCCAATCATGAAAGTTGCACCATTTGTTAATACATGTATACGCTACCTCTGTACCAAATCTTGTTGTGGTGTCTCTTTTTCTTCATAGTTAGATGAATTTTTAAAATTATGGTAGATTTTTAGGTAATCTTATCTTAAATGAATATATGGTAAGTATTATTTACCTTTGGTCCAGTAAATTCTGTTATCTAGTAAAATAAGCAATACTTAATCTAAACTCATTTCTTTAATCTGTTTCATTTGAGGATTAAGTTAAAACCTAAATTCATATCATGATATTGAAGCAATTTTTGATTACTACCTTAGAATAAAAAATGAAATAAATAAATTAATTCAAAATATGAACATAATTGTGTTAATAAATACAACACTAAACCTTCTTTGTTTCATTAAAAAAAATCATTATTTAACAATAAGCTCTCCGTTGAAATCTATAAATATATTACATATCAGATGAAATATTATTAAAGTGGAATACAGTTATTAAAATAGAAAAGTATTTATAATAATATAGATGAATAAATATACAGTATAGACATCAACTTCCCACATAGTGGGTAACTTGTTCTGATCATCAGGTATCATCCCCACCACCCTGCCGCTAATTTCTTAGTTACATTATCAACCTGAAAAAACAAATTGAAATTAAAGAAAATCATAAAAACATTTTTTGAAATTAACTTGCCCATTTTGAAGTAATAAAAGTCACGATGTTTGCATGCTTTTTACTAATTACCACCAAGAAGTCATTGCCGACAGGCATTAATACCATGCACAGCTAAATAAGATTAGGTGTGTTCTCCTGGGAGTGGGTTCTTCCAACTTTGAACCCCTGTGGTCTAACAGGGTTGATTAGACTGTGTTTACGCTGGTTATAATTGATTAATTACCTAGATAAAATCCGTTCCTTTAACATCGATCTCCACACACCAAAAAAGGAGGGTGTTAAATGTTAAAATGCCAAATTAAACACTTCCTGAAAGCAATTGTATAACTTTGATATATTTACCTCTTTAGGACTAAAATGTAGAATTGTAGCAATAACATGAAGTAAACTGTGTTTACTGGATAAATCATCGGTCTGTATATATCCCAACACAACATTCTTCAAATACTCTAGATTCGTGCCTTCTCTTGATCTATAATGTAATGTAAACAACAACAGTCGAACCAGTTAGTGTTCTCTTTGAATGATGACATAAATGCCTCTATGAACTTAACATGTAGACAACAGGTGGGCAAAGTGCGGCCTGTGGCCCACATGCAGCCTGAGAGTGACTTCGTTGCCGCCCATGAAAATAACCCTTCATTTATTACACAGATCGTCTGTAAAATGTAATATTAAAACTGAGCATTATGTTGTACAAAAAGCAGTCCATGAAGGTTACTTTTAGGAAACCGGGGGGCGGATCCAGCGGGGAGTCATGTGGGCCTGTGTGCCCCCACCCACCATCAGTCAAGCCGAAAAATAAAAAACAGGGAGAAAAATTTGAGTTAAAGAGAGGAAAGAGGAAAAAAAGGGAGTGCACCCATGAGTTCACTGGCGATCCAGCTGCGGGCTAAAGGAGAGCTTAATTATTTGCTACTTATTTTCACCAACCATGGTGGGGCTGAGGTGGGCGTGGATCCACCTCTGGAAGCACACTTGGAAAATCGAAGTTTTGGGTGGGGGCCCCCAGCGTTAAATCAAAAATTCACTTTGGCCCTCTGACCAATTTTTATGCCCACCCCTGATGTACACTTTCAAAATTGTTTTGTACAAGCAGTGATATTTGAAAATTAGGGTTAGTTGGTCAGAATTATTCTTCTTTAATAAAGACCTTAATTTTAAAGTTTATTGTCATGACAAACAGAGGCTATGTTCAGACTTTGAGATAAGCCAGACTTACTTTAAGCCCGGCTCAAGGTTAAGTCTGGCTTAACTTTGCCGGGCGCCCAGACTAGCGGGATTAGCATTTGCATATTTATTTGCAAGAAACGAGTTTCAAAACATTGCGCTCAAAACGTACGCTTGCTTACAGAACAAGTAATTGAATGCTGATTGGTCATTCTTTTACCTGAAGTCAATCGAAGACCCCCCGCAGCGATAAAAGCCTGTCTTAGAAAAGTTCATCACGGTGCCACGCCAGGCCTAGTTACTACAGGAACACAGCCCGGCTTGAGATAAGTCTTTTGGGGCTCATCCTTGATAAAAAAAAAAAAAAAAGATACATTTTTACTTAAAAACCAAACCCTTTATCTTGGGTTGGACAGGTTTGGGTAATACAATCTGTTTTTCACCCTGTACAGTGGATAAATCACAGGTCCAAGTTAGGTGGAAGACTGGTGAATGCCAGACTTGAATACACTGATATATGAACTATTGATTTTGGCGAATATAATAGACAGACATAGAGAAAAGTCACCTTTACATAATAACTACAACAAGGACAATGGTATTTCAACACATGACAAATGTTGATTTTTTTTCTGTTTTACAGTAAAAAAAAAAAAACAGTATTTTTGTTAACTTTTAACAGTAATAATAATAATAAAGTAATAATAATAATAATAATAATAATAATAATAATAATAATAATAATAATAATAATAATAGAACAAAATAGTTTTTATATACTGTATATAAATTAATACACACACCGATATTGTTTCCATTTTTCAACTTCTTCCTTTAGTTTCTCAACCTCCTCTTGGTAGGTTTCTTGTGATGCAGCATGTTTTTCTTGGAGTTGTCTTAATGCCGTTTCTAATTCTAATTTCTTTCTCTTGATCATCGTCAGTTCAACTTCTTTTCTCGACTGTTCTTCCGCATAATGGAGAAGGGAAGCAGTTCCAACACCTTTCATCTTTAAGAAAACATTATACAATTTGTATTATTTGACTAGGTTTACATAGAAAAACATTTTTGTTCCATATATTATTCATCTAAGCTGCTTCCTGTACTTTCTGACTTCTGAGATAGAGTTAAAGTGAAAGAATACAGATGAACTAAAGTAAGGGAAACACATTTGAATATCAGATCAATAAAACTTAAAGTTAATAAAGCTAATGTCATTCCTTGTTTTTTTAATAATTTTTCCCCAATTTCAAAGTTTCTCTCTTTGCTTGTGTCTTCCTTTGTATTTATTTATTTTTTTTAATTTCAACATTATTAATAACTTACAGTTGTTTCTGATCATTTTAATCAAAATATTTTGTGTTTTCAATTGTATTGTTTTTTATTGTTTGGTTGTTTCTGTGTAATGAATTTTTAAATGTGAATTTTTAAATGTAAATTTGATGCAATTCAGCATATACTGCCTATCAAATATTGAATAATATTTTGAAAAAGAATTATAAAAAAAAAAGCTAGAATACGTAAAAATGTTGTATAAAGGTGAAAAATATAAACTGAATAGACTACCAGTTAAGAGTAAATACAGGTAAATAATGACTAAAGCTAAATACAGGTGAATAAAGGTAAATACATATATGACCAAAGGTAAATTAAAGGTGGAAAATAATTAAACAAAAGTAAATTAAGTGAATACTGGTAAAAAACAGATGAATAAAGGTAAAGACAGAATAAAGTTAAATTTACATGCATAAATGTAAATACATATAAATGAAGTTGAAAATGATAAATACCGATTAATGAACATGAATACAGGTGAATAAACAAAGGAAGATAACATTAATTTAAAAAAAAACACAGGTAAAACAACGGCAAATAGTGAGGAAATTAGTTGATTAATTTAAATATTATAGATTGCTAACCAGAGCAGCTGACTGTCTGTTTTGCAGCTGATTGACAGTTGCTTGAGCTTGAATGGCATGAGCATCCTCCTCTTGCTCATCATCATTGTCAGTGAAGACACTGGACGATCTTCTGGAAGACTGGCTTTTATCACTGAGCACAGAAATACAAATTGTTGTGAAAGCAGAACAGCAAACAAGAAGCAAATGCAGAGGCAGGGATTTTTGCTAGGGCGATTTTTAGATCTAAGGAGAGAAGCATTGTGTAGGCGTGTGTTTGCAGTGGTGTATCGAGGAGAGGGGGATATGCACTCCTCCTCCCCCACCCCCAGAAAAATTATCCCATTGAAAAAAATCATGCTCAACTAGTTAAAAATCACCTTATTTTGCGAGGTAGCGCCCGCCCCACCTCCCCATTTAATTATCACTTCGCCTCTGAAAACCCCATTTCACCTCCATTCCCCCGACCTCAATCAGCCCTCCCCTTTCAAGACTGCTAGATACGCCACCGTGTGTGTCTTTTAGAAGCGCTACTCTAAAACATACACCGCTACGCTTTTAGAAGACAGTAATCTATTTTGGAAATAGGCATTGTAGAGCTTAATCGCGAGTACATTAATACCCAACATACATTGGATATTCTGTGTCCTCGGTACACTATTAAACAGCCCATTTCTTACAAATTGGTCCTCAGCCAAAATGGACTTGTCTGGAAAGTCAATCAAATTTAATTAACAAAACAGGATCAGGGCCAGGAACACGCACACATATTTACATAAGTTTATGCTGTCACGGGACCTTAGCAACTATATCCAAGGCGTGAGACTTTAGCGGAACGTTCCATTTGCTGGTTACTCAAATAGAACAAATTTAGTTACTTTGCTTGACTTTAACTTTGGAAATGTGGCACATTCTGATGAAGTTGTTGTTTCAAAGTTTCAATTTCTAAGTTTCAATTTCTTTATCTTTCTCCGAGAGCAGAGCGAGGGTGCGGTCACGTTGCTTGTGAAATCTGCTGCTCCATCTCTGCTGATCTTTGCTAAAATAAAAAAAAATTATATTTTTATTGTTACTTTTTTTTGATAAAGATCTACTTGGCATTATTTCTACCCAATAATATATATAACGCAGGTTCAGAATAAAAAAAAGCAGGAAGAATAATCATGCTAAAGAGCAAAACAGATAGTCATAGAAATTTTAACTGCTTCGTAACATCTGTCTTGCAAACGATATATTTATTATGTAATTAGTTGCTTCTTAATTTATGTATTTGTTGTGTTTAAGACACCTGATTAGATATACATACTTTTAAAAATGTTTATTTCATTCATGTCCAACAGTGTTAATGCTTGTTACAGCATGAATCCATGAATGTAAGGCACTGATCTGATATAATTCATTGGGATATCATTAGAGAAAGAAAAATTGGTGCTCATATGTTAAAATTCAAACCTTAAAATCATGCTGTGTCTGAAGCATGTCTGTCTTGTGGTTCTCCTTTACTTTCTTCATTGCAGCTTCCATATCTTCTACCTATAAGAACATTAAATATCCAAATTGTTTTCTATATCTCAAATTTTAATCAGCTTTGATACAAATCACGAAGTCTTAACGTGTTGACTAGTGAAGTTTTTAGGCATTGCAGTTTTTGTTCTTTTAGGTTAGTTTTAATTTTTAAGTGCAGTTTTAATCTTTTACACTGCATTATTTCTGTCCTTTTATTCTAAACATTTTCAAACCATTTTAACTTTTAAAATAACAATTTTGGATCGTTAAAGCTTTTAGTTTCTAATTTTACTTTAAATTTAAACATTGTTTTTCACATTTTTAATTTGTAATGGCATTGCTTGTATTTTAAACTACAGTATATTTTAATTGTTTCTATAAGTTTAGTTTCAAAGTTGAAATTGAATATAATATGCACACAACTTATATAAATCAATCAAAGTTTCTATGTTAGTTCTTTAATATTACTGTGTTATTGCATGTCTTGAAGAAATGGAATATAGAATTGATGATGGAATTGAATTTTTGTTATATTGTGAACGCACCACATTGAGTGCAGTGGCCAGGAATCGGAAATAGAGGGGGCCCAGGTAGACACTTTCACATATACTGTAGAAGGTCCATCCACCTCAGCCCTACCATGGCTAGGGATGAGGTTAGAAAATTTATGAGTATAGCACCTCTAGATGACTGGAAATGGCACTCTCAGATTTTTTAATTTTCTTTTTTTCTCCATTTCTTTTATAATCTTGAAAAATTAAGGGTGCAGGGGGAGAAGGCCGGCTGGACCCTCCTTGAATCAGCAACTGAAAATACATCAAACACTCTGTCGAAAATCATATTTCGATTAAGTTTTGTTGATGAACATTTCAAATGAGTTAATTTTATGGGTAATTATTATATATTATCAGATTCACCCAGATTGTACATTTATTAAAAACTTGTACAACAATCTAAAAATCACTTTGGAGTTTTCTTACCTTGTTTTTAGTTTCATTCTCTTAGTTATCAAGTTGTTGTCTAAGCACAACAATCCAATCCTTCATGTCATTTAATTGAGTCTGCAATGTATCAATCTCCATTATTGCTTGTTGTGTCCTGTAATAATTTAGCAAAAATATTAATATGATTTACATATACATTAGCATTTCCCCTCCGTCTGAACCGAGTTCGTAATAGAGAAAATTTGTAATTAGGAGATTTCAAAGTTTCGTAGCATATCAGTGGCGGGGCTTATGCTACAGAGTATACAGGGTAAGGTAGGCTTAAGCAACAAAATTCTGTACAGACGCCAAAATTATCTGTACTCTCTGTGAAGTATTCATTTGAAGGGATTTCCGAATGAGAACATGACCATCAACATAAAAAACGAGTGTTATAATTAGCTTAATAACAATTGCTAATCCATTGGAATAGGCCCCTAATGAACAAAAATTGAGATTCTCTATTCTTACAGTACATACTGTAGCTGCCTGAAGAAGCAATCACAGCTCAAAATTGAATGTATCTCGGCTGAAAACGAAAAATATTCTTTTAAAGTCTTCTTTCTCAGCTGATGTAACATTTTATATTATTCTTGAAGACTTTTAAATATAAGTGTCTTTGTAGTTCATAATGACGTCATTGCCGCAAAACAAGTTCATGAAATCGAGAGTTCCTAATTTGGAGATTTTTCTGTATGCAAAATATTTAAAAAAATCATTAAAAAATAATTTTTTTTAATTAACTTGTTCATTTAGTAAGATAGAATTTATCAAGAACATAAAAATTAGTGTATTTAAAAAATGGTTACCCATAGTTTTACAGGAAAAAATAATAGAAACACTTTCAGTCACTGGAAGAATTTTTTTTTATTACTTTTTTTTGGTATTTTACATGGGACAATACGTCTTTACATTTCATTATAATGCTTAGGAATCAATGTAGTTATTAACTCACCCTAGTATTTTTACTTTTCAGGACAGACTGGGCTCGTAGCTTGTATCGTTCAAATTCATCTTTAAGCTGCTTCAATTCCTGTTGGCAAGCGTGATGCTGGCCGTGACCATCTAAACTCGAATGATCATCAGTATTGGACATTTCTAGGAAAAAAAAAGTTGTTCAACAATTTTTAAAAATGCACAGGTCTTCCTCCTTGTATAAGCCCACTAGCCTTCAACACAAGACTGGGGAGATGTGCTTCTATCCACGAAATCTACAAATCATATACTGATCGTTTTTGCCTGGTGAAATGCCAGTACCTGACCAAGGAACTATGGTATTATAAATATTAAAATATTTGTTCATCTGGAGCCGCATGATAGACTAGAAAAAAACTGAAAAAATGAGTTAGGGGGAGTGGAATGTTAGAAGCAATCCACATAGCCAGATATCCTAATTAATCCCTTCTGGTCACCCTAAGCCCTGTTGACACTTGATTTTACTCCTTGTATACAAATAGAAATTTATCTAAAATGTGCATAAAATTGGAACTAAATAAGCTACAGATATGATGTTAGTGTCTAAACTCATAATTTCTAGACAGGCAACAAACTAGACATATAAAAACTACTGTCACTCAAGCCAGAAGGGAACATAATAAAAAAAAATAGGTGTTTATTTGTTTAAAAATAATCGCAAAATATATCCTTACTTAAAATGTACATAAAATAAGAACGAATATATAAAATAAGCTAGTTTTCTATGTAATCCAGATAGATTTTTGTGCAAAAATAGATTTTATTGACTAATTTTATCATTTTTACTGCGCTGGATTTAAAAAAGTTAGGTGCCATTTTTTCCCAACGTCATCAGCCGCCATTTTGAATTTCAAGATGGCTGACGCACCACATAAAACATGGTCATGATTGGTGTCAATGGAAAGGGAATTATACACTGCTCAATTATTGTCATTACACCTAAACAACATAATACATATTTACAGCGATATAGGCCAATATATTCACATGACACAAAAGGTCAAAGGTCAAAAAATCAAACTTACCAAAAGTTGTCTTGTTTGGTATCATTTGAAAGCTCTGCCAATGATGAATTATGTTTTCCGGTATATACATATTAGAAACTGTGTAGTTTTTTCATATATTGTCCTGTAAATCTAATTATCAAATAGAACAAAATACCACAAACATACTCTTTGGCTGATTTATTAGAAGGGGTCAGTCCAACTACGACCCATCATTTTACTATGAAGGTTTGACCAGATATGTACACCTGTGTGCTTTCTCGGGAAATGCTTAGTTCCTCCGAGCCCAAATGAACCCAGGAAAGGCCAGGGGCCCCACTCTTACTTCATGGTGGCCAAGGCAAATACAGTATGTTGTGTTTTCCTACTTATTGATGATTCTACATACATGAACAATGGTACCGCATGTTACGTGCTGTATAATATATTTGATTGGCTGATTGATTTGTTTTAACATCAATAGGCATGGTCCTCCCAGTGGTGCAACGACGAGTCGTGGGTCCCGGGCCGAAACAATGTTAGGAGCACCATGCATATCAGTAAAATATTTTTGCTCACGAAGTGACACCTGGGTGGGTAATCCCCCTAGAAATAAGTGTTAAGGATGAAAAGACTTTAATTATTAGACAATGCCAAAAAATGTTTTGTGAATAA